TGAGGATTTACTTTGTGGTCTTCCGCCCCAGACCACAACCCCTCCTTCTAGCACATTGAGTCTAGTTTCCACCATCCCAACATTTTCCACATTTTCTAGGACACATACACTGCTCACACCACTGCACACGACAGGTGCACTCTACTTGTCCTCAACGATCGGAGATACGTCAATGATGATCGGAAGTCCTGCTGCTCAACAGATATCTCCATCATTATCAGCAGGCCACACTTCAGTAATCTTTACTGATGCTGTGACAACGGTTACTACCCCTGTAACCGGACACCCTGACCCCACCGACCTTTCCGTCATTCTGCAACGTTTCTTGGATTCCACCATCAAACCATGGGTGCACGAAGCAATAACCGCTCGGGCACAGGAATTCAGGAACACCCCGGCGCTGCTTAATGACATCATCCAACCCCAACCAACATCCTCACATACCCAAGAAACTCAACCACTTCCTATCATACCTACCCAACAAACCTCTGAACCATCCACAACCCTACCCCACTCACCTACTGCTTCAAGGGGAACCCAGGATACAGAACTAGTGTCCTCCCCTACTTCGACCACACCTTTTCCTGACCCTAAAACTTTACCGTTCGAGGTACTCGAGAACCTAATGCTAGATCAACTACTAGCCACCGAAGAAGGCAACCTAACCCAGAAACAAAAAGACCTTCTTCGGATCCTTAAGCCTGACAGCTCATGCCGTGATAGTCTCCTCGGTCACAAACGTTCGCATGAGGACCCCGATGACTCGGATCCTCATGAGGGGGAGAACAAGAGACAAAGGACACTTGAGCGTGATGCGTCAACCAGCCAACCCTCTACGCAATCCAACCAACCCGAATCCTCGAACAATCAGCCCCCATCATCCACTCAACATAAAAGCCAAACAGCCAACTCACCCACATCTAGCCCGGTCGAGCTAGAAACAACACTCCTAGGCTCATCTTTCATGGATGTAGACCAAGGATGGAGTGGAAGTCCTGAGGTTGCTACTTCGAGTACACCTTTTTATTCAGGCCATCAGAAAGAACCTAGTTCTAATCTGATGATAACGGGTAATCCTAGTGATCCCGGAGTTACCATTGACAGAGCGCCACAACAGCAGCAAGCTCCCTCTAGCCAACCTGATGATCGAATGCATGACGAACTTGAAGAAATTCTTGTTCACAACAAGTGGTCTCGGCTATGGACGAATGTGGATGAAATACAGCGAAGAGCCTATCTCAGAGAGCTCCTAGCTAAATGTGCTGCTGATGTGATACGGCTTAATGATGATGAACTCAAGGAAGGAGAAAACTATCAGGAACCTCCCAAGGAGCTGGAATCCATCATCAGACAAACAGCGGCTCGAATGCCCAGGAGTGAAAAGCCTTGGGAGAATATTAACATCAATGCTCCTTTCCAAGAGGAAATCAGAAAGCGTATATGGCGGAAAGATGACGAAGTCAAGGAATTGGACGAATTGAAAATCTGTGGACTCAATCATCTGAGAGGAAAGAACAAGGGTGGTCAATTGTTTCTGCTTAGTCATCATTACATGGGGAAACAGAGAGAAGTATGGCAACATGAACTACAAACCGCAAAAGACCCAGTATGGAGTATACTAAATGTAGCCGAAATAAATTATCAAGACATCCCACTCTCTGTTTACCGCCTGCAACGCTCCGACGGGACTGAATTTACCTGCAAGGAAAATGACCTTTATATGTTAAAGATGGATGACATCTATCATATGTATCAAGCCTTCCAGGAAATTCCAGTCACCTGGGACAAATCTACACAAGAGGGATTCAAGGCACTCAAGCGCTTCATGATCAGACAAGCCAAATTCTTTGCTTCCCATGATCTTCAGATGGCCCTAGAAACCAATCTGCCAAAAACAAACCTCTCGAGACCAAAGCTTTACGGGCCAGAGCTTGAGAACTTCCCAGCTTATTACATTTTTGATCGCCCGTTAGCTATCATCTACCTGAACTACAAAGGTGAGAGGCGTTTGTTGGTGGCAGAAGAAATCAACAAGTACTGTGACGGAACGCTGAAGATCATTAAGGAAAAACTGCAACCTATCAGAAAAGAATTTGAAGAAAAACAACAGAAGTATGCAGATGCCACAGACGATGAACTAACAGAGGCAACCAGAATTGACAAAGTATTGAAAGCCATCGAGAAACAACTTGACAGAAGAAGGTCTCTCAGAAATTACGAGCATGCACTCAATCTCAGAAAGCATTATTTTAAAGCTCAGAAGTGAAGAAAAGAAGAAGCAAGAACATCTGATCACAAAGGGGGAGATTGTTAGAGATATTTTCATTATATTGTGATCAATGTTTCTTAGCTATTTATATTTAGCATCTTAATTTAATAGATTAGCTAGAATAATGAATAGGCCTTTTAAGGCAATTTTGTAATAAAGGTTTTATACCTTTTTAGGTATGGGCCTCCTAGGAAAAGGAGCCCAAATGATTGTAAAACCTACCTTTCCCGTCAGGCTATATATATGCCTTAAGGGAAAGGCTAGGTTAAGCTTTTCGTAACATTCCTAGTGCCGCAGTGCCTAAATCGGTGATAGAAGTTTTACGCTAAATTGTTCATCATTCTGTAAACTTCTTCATCATTCAATGGAAAGCTTCATTCCCAGATCTGTCTTCCATACATACATATTCTAGACTAGAAAACAGGGACCTAACACGGCTTCTAAGAAATATAGTGAAGAACATAAAGTAACCCACAAAATATATCTAGCATTATAAGATGAATGTTTTGTCTGAGATAAATTGCTACAAAGTTGCCTAATATATGAAGAAAATGTAATTTATATTATTCGGCATTTGTTAATAACTAACCCCTAAAAGTTTACACGTTTAAATGAGCCAAGATGTGCTAATATTGAAACCCCACTATAGAAACGATGCAATTGGGCCCCAGAAGTGGCTCCATATATATGCACGTAAATCGTTGTTCAAAAACATTATTATGACACAATTTCCGACATTAGGGGGAGATATAAAGGCATAAGCATAATTATATTTTGGAATGTCGGAAAAATATCCTAGAAGGATTGAATGATATGAAAAGAGAAACATGTAAAATATGATAAGTAAACTGCCAAAGTGACTGAAAGAGAAATGATAATAAAGTTTGAGCTCAACCAATGCATGAAGCATGGTTAGACGGTCATTATGTGCATATAAAATAAAATTGGTTCATTATAGTAAGTCACTTATGCCTCTATAAGAGGATAATATAAGTTAAATGCTGCAGCTGATATGTTATAGAAACTATATGAGACAGAACTTGAGTTCCTCTTTTATGGCTCATATAGAGGACCCGGATGAAACAGGAATCATAGTTATTATATTGACGTCAATGATTTATTTTTCCAAGACTATCGATTCGTAATCCATAATAATAAAGTCTGGCCAGACGAAATATGATGGACCTGCAGTCCTAAAATTTCGTGAATTGTGATCGATGTTTATGGATGAGAAAATATTTTATATTGGGCCTGAAGTCTCATATATCAAGATATTGTGCACGTGGGGTGCCAATACTTAAGATTGAATGATTTTGAGATTACATTCCTTTTATAGTTTGAAGTTCTGTCAATGTGGTAGTTAATGAAAGAATCGGATGTCATTGTTATCATATCAATTGTGTGTCCCTGAAGGACAATGGTGAAAAGAAATATGTGCACACAACATGAATATGAATTCTCCTATGTCTACAATAATTAAATAATTAAACACATTATGTGTTATTTGGAATTATGCTTAAAAAAGAATTTGAATTTGATTGAATAACTGCACCAATGAATAATGCAGTAAACATTAAGCATAGTTGGAAATATATAAAAATGGATGCTTGTGCCTAACTACAACCTCGGGGACTACAATAAGTCTTGATGACATGATTTATTTTATAGAAGAACTATGCTTGCTTATCATGGTGCAAATTATTATTTTATTTAATATCATGATTGAACAAGGTCTTTGCACCATGTGAAAATATCACTTGTAGTGAGTGCCTCCTGTAGAGGATCTAACGTGAACAATTTTCTTATGTGTTTCACATGCTTTCATGACTAGGATTTAAACTAATTTAAAGTGAATTATATTCATATTACTTCTCAACCTTTCCTGCAGAAAGAGTTGAATGAGGAAAACATTATGCAATAAATTTGCAATTACTCATAAACCTTCTATTTGTTTACCTAAAGTAAACATATATTATTCTATGAACCAAATTGTATAAATAAAGGTGTTGGAGGCTTTTAAGAATCTAGCCAAATCTAGAAACAATACATGAGAATCTTTTGATTTGAATGATGTTTGATTATATAATAAATAAATATCTAGTCATTATATTGTGAACACCTGAAGTGTTTGTGTACTAGTTTGAGATCCTAGGAGGATCAATACATGTCTCGTTTAAGTTTTATGGACAAATATTTGAGAATACTCAATTATTAAATGTTTGATGTGCATATGAGCATTAACGCTAAATTTGATGGTTTTGAAATACACATAGCAAAATCATGAGTTTAGACAATTGCTTTTGCTTAGAAAACTCTTGAAGAGTTTGATTACTGATGTCCATCAAATCTGTATAAATAATGATGAAGGTTTTTGTATACTAAAGATTGTCATCTGCTCAAATTATATGGAGTTGAGGTGAAACAATTAATTGGTCCAGAAGACTAATGTGCTATTCCTTTTTTTTTTCCTTAGCCAAATTTTTCCCAAAGGGTTTTCTTGGCCAAAGGTTTTAAGGTATTTTGAGGTTTTTAAAGAATGAGAAAGATTCATACCATCCTGAAGACTATTATCCTCTAGAAGAGTGATTCTAATATTAGTTCGGAAGACAGTACCCTGAAGGTCTTAATTGGTCCTTGTGAGATCGAACAATTTATTGGTCCGGAAGACCATATGCAACTGTACTCTTTTTCCTTAACCAAGTTTTGTCCCATAAGGTTTTCTTGGTCAAAGGTTTTAACAAGGCAATTTGTGACTTTGAAATAATATATTGTGATACATAAAATTCAGAGTATTGTTTTTTTCTAGAAGAGTAAATTCAAAAGCAATCCAGAAGATTAGGCCCCGAAGGCCAATGACTGTACTCTTTTCCTTTACTAAGTTTTTCCCGCATGGTTTTCTTAGTTAAAGGTTTTTAACGAGACAGTCAATACAACACATCGTTTTACATATGTAATGTATTTTTCCTTGATTGGTTTTCTCCCCAAAGGGTTTTTCCAACAAGGTTTTTAATGAGACATACACATATTACAAGTTCATGCTACAAGGAGTTGGTAACCAGATTATATTGGATTATACAAGAAGTCTTGAAGTGATGCAGTCAACAGGGGAGTATATGCGCGCTGCACTCTTTTTCCCTTGACCAAGGTTTTGTCCCATTGAGTTTTCCTCGGCAAGGTTTTTAACGATGCAGCACACCATAGCGTATAGAGATAATAATGTATAGCATCATATTTTTCTTGTAATGTTTTTATTATTAAGCAATGTACATCCAAGGGGGAGTGTTATGTATTATGGATGTCCATTAGTTCATAGCCCGAGCCCATGTGTACTGGCCCATCTGATGATTGTAACCCTAGCTCCCCTATCCCCATATATGAATGAAAGTAAGCTTTTGATCTGGTTTATTACACCCATCTATTATAGGACTAGGATATCTCATATTCGATACACTGCATCGGAAGGTTTAGCCTACTAGCGGTCTTGGATTTCTGGGTCTTCCTAAAGTGTTGATGCAAATGAATTCTCAAGGTATTCTTCTAATCTTATTTCATACATATTTGATTTCATGGATTTATATGGATTTAGCTATTATATACTTATATATATATCGCATATGGAGTTTTGTTAATATATGTATGAATATCCAACAGTTTGACCGTTTGATATGGGAATTCTGAGGATAATTTAAGTAAAATTGATTTAGAAGTTTCCAAACTTAGTGCTAAGTTAGTCTCATTTTATGAAACTTAAAAGAACAACTCTTTTTTGTCCATAACCTATGTCTAGTAAAATTCTTGTGATGATCTGTGATTGTTCCCGTAAAAAATTCATAAATTATTTTAGATTCCCCTTAGACTTTCTGGATCGTTCAATGTTGCAATGGCACTTTCAATCTTTATTTTCAATACGTCATTGTCTTCCTCTTCGGCCTGGAAAAAAAATGAAAAAGGCGAGTGTCACTTTTACCCAAAGCTCGAAATTTAAGGGATTTGTTGAAATAAGAGTAAAAAATATTGGGAACTCCAAAATTGAATTGTTGTTATTTTCCTAATATTTACTTTCCCTCTCTACGGCTGGACATGATCATTCATATGTGTGTGTCTATATATATATATATATATATATATATATATATATATATATATATAGAGAGAGAGAGAGAGAGTGCTCTTCATGTCAGGCCGGCCTGACGGGCTGCCCCGTCCGGCCGAGCCCGTTTGGGCACCTTCCCGGTGGAATTTTTTGATGAAATTTTTTGAGCATGTTCCTCGTCAAGTCTAGTTTGTCCATACCAAATTTCAGCTCAAAATTCGATCGAGAAGGTCATCAAATGATTTTTGCAAGTTAACTGGTCCGGAATATGTTAACTTGCAAAAATTTAAGGACCAGTTAACTTGCAAAAATCATTTGATGACCTTCCCGATCGAATTTTGAGCTGAAATTTGGTATGGACAAACTAGACTTGACGAGGAACATGCTCAAAAAATTTCATCAAAAAATTCCACCGGGAAGGTGCCCAAACGGGCTCGGCCGGACGGGGCAGCCCGTCAGGCCGGCCTGACATGAACATTCCTCTATATATATATATATATATATATATATATATATATATATATATATATATATATATATATATATATATATATATACGGAAAAGATCCTGTCCAGCCGGAGGGACAGGATCCTCCGTCCGGCCGCCGCCGTTTGGGGCGGTTCCCGGTGGAGTTTTTTGATGAAATTTTTATGGAATGTTCCTCATCAAGTCTAGTTTATCCACAAAAAATTTCAGCTAAAAATTCGATCGGGGAGGCAGTCAAATAATTTTTTGAAACATAACTGCGTTTTATATGTTTAAGTTGGAGCAGTTATCTTCAAAAAATTATTTGACTGCCTTCCCGATCGAATTTTTAGCTGAAATTTTTTGTGGATTAACTAGACTTGATGAGGAACATTCTATAAAAATTTCATCAAAAAACTCCACCGGGAACCGCCCCAAACGGCGGCGGCCGGACGGAAGATCCTGTCCCTCCGGCTGGACAGGATCATTCCTCTCTCTCTCTCTCTCTCTCTCTCTCTCTATATATATATATAATATATATATATATAAAACGCAGTTATCTTCCAAAAATCGTTTGACTGCCTTCCCGATTGAATTTTTTGCTGAAATTTGGTATGGATGTACTAGACTTGATGAAAAACATGCTCAAAAAATTTCATCGAAAAATTCCACCGAAAAGGCGCTCAAAACGTGGAGGCTGCACGGCGGCTCCGGTAAGGTATACCTTACCGGAAGTTTTTCCTATATATATATATATGTGTGTGTGTGTGTGTGTGTGTGTGTGTGTGTGTGTGTGTGTGTGTGTGTGTGTGTGTGTGTGTGTGTGTGTGTGTGTGTGTGTGAGGAGTCTTCTTGTCAGGCCGGCCTGACGGGATGCTCTGTCCGGCCGAGCCCGTTTGGGCATCTTCCCGGTGGAATTATTTGATAAAATGTTTTGAGCATGTTCCTCATCAAGTCTAGTTTGTCCATACCAAATTTCAGCTCAAAATTCGATCGGGAAGGCATTCAAATCATTTTTTTAAGTTGACTGCAGTTTTATGCGTATATTTTGACGCAGTCAACTTCAAAAAATGATTTGAATGCCTTCCCGATCGAATTTTGAGCTGAAATTTGGTATGGACAAACTAGACTTGATGAGGGACATGCTCAAAACATTTTATCAAAAAATTCCAACGGGAAGGGCCCCAAATGGGGATGTTCGGACGGTGTTCGGACCAGGAATGTTCAGACCTGAACATTCCTCTATATATATCTATATATATATAGACAAATCTTCATGTCAGGCCGGCCTGATGGGCTGCTCCGTCCGGCCGAGCCCATTTGGGCACCTTCCCGGTGGAATTTTTTGATGAAATTTTTTGAGCATGTTCCCCATCAAGTCTAGTTTGTCCATACCAAATTTCAGCTCAAAATTCGATCGGGAAGGCATTCAAATTATTTTTTGAAGTTGACTGCAGTTTTCTATGTATATTTTGACGCAGTCAACTTCAAAAAATGAGTTGAATGCCTTCCCGATCGAATTTTGAGCTGAAATTTGGTATGGATAAACTAGACTTGATGAGGAACATGCTCAAAAAATTTCATCAAAAAATTCCACCGGGAAGGTGCCCAAATGGGCTCGGCCGGACGGGGCAGCCCGTCAGGCCGGCCTGACATGAAGAGCACTCTATATATATATATATATATATATATATATATATATATATATATATATATATATATATATATATATATATATATGTACGTATGTATGTATGTATATATATATATATATATATATATATATATATATATATATATATATATATATATATATATATATATATATATATATATATGTGTACGTATGTATGTATGTATATATATATATATATATGTATGTATGTATGTATGTATGTATGTATGTATGTATGTATGTATGTATGTATGTATGTATGTATGTATGTATGTATGTATGTATGTATGTATGTATGTATGTATGTATGTATATATATATATAGAGTTTTTTACGTAAATATTATCAATACACTTTGGGCTTACAAAAAAGTGAGCAAGGGAGAATAACTACCAATCACGTACACCAACCTAGGAGTAAATGTAGGGAAATCACTTTGTTCTTTCAATTAGTAGTCACATTTTTGTTAGGGTGATTTAAAGTAGTAATATTTGTGTAATTTTTTCATATATATATATACATGTGTGTGTGTATATATATATATATACAGGAATATTCCTGTCCGGAAATTCCGGACAGGAGCCCCGTCCAACCTCCTCTATTTGGGGGCCTTCCCGGTAGTATTTTTTGCTCAAATTGTTTGTGTATGTTCCTCATCAAGTCTAGTTCATCCATACCAAATTTCAGCAAAAAATTCAATCGTGAAGGTTGTCAAATGATTTTTACAAGTTAACTAGTTCGGAATATGTATTTTCCGGACCAGTTAACTTGCAAAAATGATTTGACGACCTTCCCGATTGAATTTTTTGATCAAATTTGGTATGGATGAACTAGACTTGATGAGGAACATACACAAAAAATTTGAGCAAACAATACCACTGGGAAGGCCCCCAAATGGAGGAGGCCGGACGGGGCCCATCTTATATATAGTGCTATTCCCGGTGGAATTTTGTATATGAGATGCCTGGTCTTGTCAAGTTTAGATATAGAAATCGTCCAATCAATCAACCATCTTTATATATATATAGTGCTATTCCCGGTGGAATTTTTTGAGCATGTTCTTCATCAAGTCTAGTTTGTCCATACCAAATTTCAGCTCAAAATTCGATCGGGAAGGCAGTTAAATAAATCCTGGAAAACTATGGCTCATTCTGCGCACATATAAAGTGCAGTATGTTTCCAGGATTTATTTGACTGCCTTCCCGATCGAATTTTGAGCTGAAATTTGGTATGGACAAACTAGACTTGATGAGGAACATGCTCAAACAATTTCATCAAAAAATTCCACCGGGAAGACCCTCTGATGGGCTTGTCCACACGGGGCTTCTCTTCAGGAGCTCCAGATAGGAACGGGACTCTATATATATATAAGGAGCAGATTAGGTGAGAAGTGTTCTTAGACTGAGAACTGAGAAGTTGAACTTATAGACTAAATATAGGGACTTTTAAGCAATAAATCATAACTTATAGACCCCTCGAAAATAATTACGCAAATGCCACCGCAAAAAATAATTACGGAAACCTGGAAAAAAAATTGATGCGGTGGCATTTTTGTAATTATTATGGAGAGCTTTATAAGTTATGATTTATTGGTTATAAGTTCCTATATTTAGTCTATAAGTTTACTGCGTTGTAAGATCAAATGCAAATCCAATAGCTAAGATTACTTCTCACTTCTCATTTTAAAAGAGACACTTCTCACCTGATCTCCTTTTTATATATATATATATATATATATATATATATATATATATATATATACACATATATACATATATATATATATATACATATATACATATATATATATATACATATATATATATATACATATATATATATATAGGGGTGAGTTCTAATAAAAAGAGGTCTTCCCATGAAAAGTAAGAAGTGATATAAGCCTTTGAATACTTAAAAATGGATGGAATAGATCAAAACTCACGGTAAACCAAATTGTGTAATACATAATAGTAAAAGTGCATATGTCATATGTAAGAGTGCACATTCAGCTCCTAAGAAAATAACATAAACCAAGTATATATGTCATATATATTCGTTATTTTTTTTTCCGGAAAGGGATGCACTTTTGTGTTACTCCAATACACTTTTTCTTCGTAGTCATGCATATTTATCATTTACACTAGTGGCACCGAATTTTCCACTTTAAAATTGATTTGATCCATTCATTAACTCATTTTAACGGCTAAGATTACTTCTCATTTTTCATATAAGGAGTACTTTTTATTTGAACTTCCCCCCCCCCCCCTCTCTCTCTCTCTCTATATATATATATATAGAGAGAGAGAGAGAGAGTAGAGATCATGTGAGAAAACCATCTTAGAAGAGAAATGAGAATGAATTATAGTCATCCGATTTTGAAAATTTTTAATACGTTGGATCTCACCCATTAAGCACAAATAAGAGATTTCCCCATGATATATTATCAAATCTATCCGATTCTTTCTATAACCGTCTCCTTCAATCTCTCGAGGCCAATCATTATATTTCTTTTTGATTGATTTACGATTCTCCATACTCCATAGCACTTAATTATCAAATTATTTTTTATTTGTAAGCCAATGAAAATAAATTCTTTTACCTATTATTTTCTTTTCTCAACTATCATGAGTTATTTCTCGAGAAGGGGTACTTTCTAATCTTATTTCCCAAAATAAGGTACTTTTAAACTTATTTCC